CACACACACACACACACACACACACACACGCACACACACACGCACACACAGTCGTGTTTTCACGTCCTTGTGGGGACATCTCATTAACATAACCCTCCCCAGCTGTCTCCCTAACCATGAAATATGGACGCCTATCACAACATAACTGTTTCAAACTTGTGGGGACGATCACTTTGTCCCCACAAAGATATGCAAACACGGTCGGTGCTGCACAGGTTTGTCTCACACATGTGTTTGAAGTATGACGTGTTTCTGGTTCTGCACACATGTTTGTGATGTGTCGTGCTGTCTGCACTCATAAAATAAAGCATGTATACACGTAACTGTCACTTTTATGAACTTCCACTTCTCTCCAAAAACCCACCAGGGTCAGACAGAGTCGTATAAAGTACAGCGGCGGCTGAGGACTGGGGTAAAGTCACGCTCTTTCTGATGTTCGGGGAATGGTCCGCAGAACAAAAGGTGAGCGCCTCCATCAGTGCTGTCTCAACAGTAAAGATCCTGAGACGTTCATGTGTGGGCTGCTTCTCATCCACGGGAGTGGGCTCACTCACAATTTTGCCAAAAAACACAGCCATGAATAAAGAATGTGACCAAAACATCCTCCCACAGCACCTTCATCCAACCATCCAAGGACAGTTTGGCGAACAACACACAGCCTTTTCCAGCATCATGGAGCACAGTGGCCAATCCTTAAGAGGCAGGTGGACAAACAAAAGCCTGCTAATTGTGACAAACTCGGAGCATTGATTATGTAAGAATGGATCGCCATCAGTCAGGGTCTGGCCCAGACGTTGACTGACAGAGGTCTGGAAACAGAAGGGCCAACGCTGCAAATACTGACTCTTTGCGCGATGTAATTGTCAATAAAAGCCTTTGAAGCTTATGAAGCGCTGGTTTCATACTTTAATACATCACAGAAACATCAGACACAACGATGTGGAAACACTGAGGCAGCAAACTTTGTGGAAACGGATATTTGTGTCATTCCTGTGAGTCACAGCATGCACTCATGAAACTGCAGTAACCACACTCACCAGCAGAGGCCACCGTTCCACAAGCATGACCTGCTGGGTAATCGTAATGAATTAAAACGACTGCAACTCACCTTTGACCTGTGACACGTTCATGACCTGGTGTCAGTGTGGAGAGAGCTGCTGTGCACCTGCTCCTGGTAATCTGATTACTGCCTTTGAACGTATCTACAGACAACTCAATCGGCCTGCACCGATCACAGGGAAAGCTCAATCCACGAGTCTGAAGGTCAAAGGTCAAGCTTCATCACGATGGTGGAGCGGTCTGTGTGAGATCAGGCGCGAAAAACAGGGGCAATGAAATATCAGAGGACGGGCACAAACCCTCTAAATCATTCCGTTTTATTGGAGCGACATCTTGTGGCAGTCAGAGGAAGTGAGGTCATGTCAGACCTGATTCTTCCTGTTTTAAGTGACAGCGTTTTCTGCAGCAGTGTGCCTGATTAAACGCTTCCACAGATGAAAGCTGTGACTTTTGTTTGCCTCGGCCTGCGTTTCCTCCCGATCGAGCAGCGTGCTCCTGCTTCACATTCAGAGCGCCGCGCGCCGCAGACCGGCTGACTGACAGGTTGATTTACCTCGCGGACGCTCTCGGTGCTCGCTCCGAACGCCTTCAGCTGCTGACTGGTGGCAGGAAAGGTCTCCGAGGCTCAGGGATGATTTTACACGCTTCCACTTCAGCCTTTATTTGTTCTGCTGAAGCGAGCGAAGCCGTCCTGTTTACGCGCTGATGGATCGTTTCAATAAAGCAGATGTTAGAGGGCGAATGGAAACCTGGCGGTAAACCTCTCTTTGTAGCAGGATCAGGAGGGAACGTTTTATTTCAAGGACGTATCAGGAGCGTTTAGGGGGAAACCCTCCGGAGTGCTGATGGAGTTTGACATGTGAGGAGCGGCTGAGGTTGAGCCGGATGGCTGTTTCTCTCAGCGATGTTTGGCCATGTAAACGTCTGACACACCAAACACAAACAGTCACCTGACCAAGCATCTGAAAAATGATCCCGTTCACCTGTCGCAGCCCGCCGTGTGCAGTCAACAGGTCAGCTGCAGAGCGCCCTCTAGTGGACACTTGTAGCATTCTCTACCTCACTTTATGTTCATGCATCAGCTGTTATCAATGCTAACGCTGTGATATCGTCAAACAGCTGATATCTGTGGGTCTGCGTCACCCCTGTAATCCAGCACAGGTGTTATGATACTGAGCTGTTCACCTGGCCGTCGGCAGGTAAGAGTCCGACAGCAGCTGCAGTAAAAACGCATTCACGCTGGAACTAGCATGCAAGCTAGCTTGTTTCTGGGTCCCACCCATAGACTCCCACCTTAGCGCCTCATTACCAGGAGGTGAGGGTTTTCAGTGATGCCTGCTGCAGCTCGATGCATCACATTTAGGCGGCGTGCTGCTTTTCGGCGCCGCTCGCTCCCTCTTATTATTTCATAGCTCGTCTCAGTCGCTCAGAAGGAGCTGCTCATCCCCGAAAACCCGATCAAAGGGCCAAATATACCCCCAGAAACAAAAACCTAATTTCACGCCCTGCACTGCTGGTCGTCAGGGGGGAGGGGTTTATTCCCATTCCCTGCTGGCGCAGGACTCGAACTGGCAACCATCTCTAACCTCAAAGCCAGCATCGCCCCGGGGCCTCCGAAGCTTCACTTTGATACGAGACACCGCGGAACAAATTTGTCTTTTATGCAAAATACTGTTGAAATAGAGCGAACAGTCATTACACGTCCAGCCAGGATTAACACACACACACACACACACACTCCCCTGTGTCTAACAGCCACGATTTCATGTTCGTTATTTGCACTCTTTCATCTCCGTCCTTCGCTCTGACAGATATAAATAGGATGATGGAGACGCACAGAGAAAAATATTATGCTAATTACAGCCCGACACAGAAGTGTTTCATTCTCTGCCCTCGCTCTTTGTTTCTGTCTCTCTCTGCTCCGTCACTTTCAAAGTTCCTCCCTCTCTGCTGTCAGCCTGGATTGGAAAAACAACTTTGTGGCGTGGCGGGTGAAATCTTCTGGGTGCAGTCTTCTCGCTTCTTCTGTCACTGTTTGCTCGTTTCTTTCACTCTGAAACTTCAGCTTTTCCCTCTCTGCGTCCTTTTATCTGCCTCATACGGCTTTATGCCTCCCTCCATCTCTCTCCTCATACTCCTCTGCTCGCTCCTGTCTCCTCTTTGCAGCTCAGATCAATACACGAGCTCTTCCTGTCCCAGAAAATCAAGTGAAATCAATCAAACAAATGAGCCACTCTAAGCAGATTCAGCACGAAGCCATCGCACCCATGATTAAAAACACTTCTGTAAGGAAGAAGATTAACTGCACGACTGACGGCACGGCGACACGCAGACGGATGTGTGACCTGAGTGTGAGGACGTCAGAGCCAGGGGTGCATCGCTGTGGCGTACCGGCCGCCAAGAGAGGAAGTCTGGCTTTAGGGACGCGCAACACTGACACGCAGCGGCACCCCCACGTCTGAAACATCTGCACTGCAGCTGTCTCACCCCAGAGGGGGAGGTCCTAAGAGTCAGTGACCCACTCTGTCATCATGTGACTCAGTGAGGTCACACGGGTGGATGTAAGGTGGTGTCAGAGGATGTAGCTGTAGCTTATGTGTTAAATGCTTTTGGATTTCACCAAAACACCCTTTTTCCTGCCTGTGTTTTCAGTCTGCGTGTGTGTGGGTGTGCACGGCATGGTGACGTAGGCGTGTGCATGTGTGATCACAGCTCCTCCCAGCATGACCCTGAAAGTTTCCTGAGGCCATAAGTCCGAATATGACCGAACTGCTGCATTTTGGCCCGTGTGATATCAGACTCGCTGGGTCTGAGTCACGTAGAGGGCCGAGTTCGCCAACTGAAGCTTTCCATGAGTTTTAGCTCAAGGATACAGCTATAACGCTAGCATGCTAAGTTAGCCTGGTTGCTAGCGGCATGTTTTAGCTAACGTGCACTGTGTTGATTTATGATTATGCGGTGACAAAGACGGCAGATAAATGTCGTTTTAGACCTCTGAGAAAACAGCCGAGCTTCTGCTACTCTGATGGCTGACTGTGCTTCAGTGCAGACGCCTCGCACATCTGTCGCTCCTCCTCAGAAGGCGTGAGCGGCGGCTCTGAGGCCGAGGCGGACGAGCCAAACGCGGGAGTCAAGCTCCAGAAACTTCTGCCCTATTAGCATGCTCTCTCTCTGCCTCTGCTGCTCTCTTGCCCACTCATTCTCCATTGGTATTCACACTGAGCCAGACACCAGTGACAGAGGCTGAGGAGGAGGAGGGAGCAGCGAGGAGGGCGATGAAGGAGAGACAGAGCGAGCAATGACAGACATGGATTAAAGGGGGGAGAGAGAGAGTGCAGATGAAGGAGGAAAGAGGAGACAGGAAGAGAGGAGAGAGGAGACAGGAAGAGAGGAGACAGGA